TATATATATAAATATATATATATATATATATATATATATATATATATTAGAAAATCACATTGAGAACTGAGATCTTTTATTGCATAAAATAATGAGAAATTGTATTTTTTCACTAAAAATTTCTCAAAAACACAAATACATTTATGCTGCTCATATTACTGTAGCCCAGTTTGTGCTGAATCAGACTTATTAGCCATTAATATGTTTTTAAGATACTGAAAAAAGCACAAATGTCAGGGCATGCCAAGGCCCCAAAACCCCCTCAGACCCCAGAGGGTTAAAGGCTGTCTATTAATAGTCTATTTATTAAGAATTAAATTAATAAACTGCTTATTTGTCATGAAAATAATGTCATAATGCAAAAAAAAATCTTGCTGGTCCTAGAAATAGGCTTCATGTGCTTTAAGCTAAATTTCTTATTACCGTCCTTTGAGTTTTGGGCGAAATGTGAACCAGAGTGATTATCATTAGCTAAAACTAAAACTATTCAAAACATTTGAACTCAAATGAAAGTGAAATTAAATGTAATAAAATATGAATATCAGGTGAAAAGCTTAAACTAAATAGAATTAGAAACTGAAATTTGAGTGTTTAACCTGAAGCACTAAAATAAAACTGAACTAAAGCTAAAACTGAAATAAATAAATAAATCTAATTGGTAATACATACCGTATAAAAAACAAAAACTAAAAACAAAACAATACAAAAGCACATAGAATTACTAAAAAATGAACCTAAAATTAAAATAAAAAACTGAATACACAAAAATAACGGCCGATTCAAAATATGAATAAAAACTATAATAGCATATAAATAATACTAAAATGGCACTGATGTGAACGAGACATGTTTGATAATGAAGCCTGCACTGAAACAGTGTGCCATTGTGGTCACCTCTACATCACAGGAAGTGAGGCGTGTCTCCAGCACTCACCGTGTCCAGCATCGTGCTGGTTTCTGATTGGTCAGGGGCACTGGGGACTGTTACTGCCATCAGAGCTCGAGCTCGATTTAATGTGCCGATAGACGCTGTCTTCACGCCGGGCACTGAAACACAGAGTAACATGCTATCAGCTCCACAACCAACCACATTCATGTTTTGGTATGCATGTTATTTAGGACTGAATAACCAGGAAACAGACCTGGCTGTGCCAGCAGAGGGGTGCTGGGTAATGCGGTCTCATAGGTGGGTGGGTTATGGGCGGAAACAGTGACGGTTGGCACGGCGAAGCTCTTGAGTGGGTGTGTGGGCCGAACGTGGGCCGTCGGCGGGTTCATGCTCGGCGGCTCTTCTTCTTTGATCAGCGCCTCAGTCTTCTGTAGCTCAGCTGTAGTGCAGGGCTGACTCGGGGCAACCAGAGGTTCAGGTGCAGGGGCCTGATTCCTCACAGACTCTACACACATACACAGAAAAAAACGAAGAAATTAGTATATTACTATATTATATGCACAATTAAATTATAAAACTGCGATTATTACATTTATATTTATATTTATATTTATAATAATTTTCTTATAGAAAAATTTTCATATCTCTGTTTTATATACATACATACATACATATATGTACGTATACAGTAGTCAACATTTGAAGTGGATCAAAAATGTTCATTAAAGTTGTTCTAAGACAAGAACACATTTTGGTTTTAGGTTTTAGAAATATTGTGTTGTATATATATTTTCTATAAACTAATTTTTTTAATAAAACTGTACAATATTTTGTATGTATTATATTACACACTTTTACTTAATGTTTATTTATTTAATTAATTGTTTAATTAATGTACTGTGGTGTCCTTTGAAGTAGTACCCAGCAGAAGCATGCAAATGCCATCTGGATATACCACGGTATCACCATCTGACGGCATCACTGTAAAGCAGCGCTGCGGTCTCACCTGCAGATTAGGTTTGTAGTTAAGTATTTGTATATGCATTTAATAAGTGTTTGTATTTAAAAAATATTATCTTTTTTTATATGATTAATATTTAAATTAATATTATTGTATTATATTTATGTGCGCTATGGTAGTTCATGGGTCAAAACTTGGGGTTCATGGACACACACACACACACACACACACACACACAGTGAGCTTACCAAGACAACACAGCTGTTCCAAAACTTAGTGAGCTGATTTGCTGTATTCTTCCTACATAGACAGCATCCCTACTAAGGCAGCATTCTAAATGAAATGCAACCTTATAAGTGAGTGATTTGGAACGCCCTACATTGGCAGCGACTGTGTGCATCACATAAATAAAAGTAGTTGTAGTTTTGATTTTACTGCGTTAAAATTACAGTGCTGAAAATAAAACAATAAATCCAAAATAAAATAAAAGTGAAATTATAGTAAAAACTATAATTAATAAAAAAGTTTAATCTAATGATTTAACTTATATTTTGAAAAGTATTTACATTTTTTTACCTTATAAAATTTTTTATATGAAATTATTAAACGGTACATAATGTTATTAAAATTGTATATAATATATTTTATATTTATTAATTTTATTTGCAGAATTTATTTAGGTAATTATTTTATTTTGTTACTGATTTATTGATAATTATATAGAAGTACATGTAAATAAGTATATAAAAATACATTAAAAAAAAAAACGAAATATTCTCAATAGTCAGGTGTTAGTATGTTGCTCTATGAAACATAATAAATAGAAAGCACATGCAAATATTTAGTAAAAATAGACTGAACTGTTAAGATTGAATGAATTAGACATTTATCATAATTTCTCTAAAATCGTCGGCCATCACGAATAGATCTTTTTGAATGTAATGCATTATGGGGCTGCTTTGATTAGGAAGGATATATGCAATATGCAAATATATGCGATCTTAAAAGACAACGTGACATTGCTGCCTATCTGTATTGCGAGCACATCTTAAGCTGTTTAAGACAGAAGCTCACTAGGTTTGGATGTAGTTTGCTACTGTGACGAATTAACGAATGCTGCACTTCACACAGCACAACATGAAAAGCACAGGACAGGCTGAGATGGCATGGGACAATCAATGACGTGCCCTTTTTGCTTGCTTTTTCTTTCGAAGAAACTCTGTGAACTTACGCTGGGGAGGCTGAGAGTCGAGCGGCATCATCATTTTGGGTCTCACTCCCCTCCGACCGGCCAAAGTGGACACGCTCTCCTCCACCTCATGACCTGCGCACACAGAAATGCATTCATGAAACAGATTGGACCCTTGATGCTGGGTGAGGTGTAGGCGAGGTGAAGCTGAGGCTCTCACCCCGTCTCTGATGGCTGGGCTCAGCGGCGGGGTCCTGGGTGGTCCGCGGGATGGGCGTCTCTGTCATGACCGGGTTGGGCTCGGGTGATTTGTCCATGGGTTTGAGCTCCAGACGCTCGTGATGGATCCACAGATCAGGAGGTTTCAGGTCTTTAGACGAACTCTTGTACTTGTGGGAGCCGGTGCTGGACTTACAGGCCGCACGCTTCCTGAAAACAAACACACTTGAATATTTAGAAAAAATTGTAATTACTTGAATATTTAATATTTTACTTGTTTTATATTTTACAAATATCATGTACTAAATGACTAAAATGACTAATGTACTATGTATATATACAGTATACTATATATATATATATATTATTATTTTTTATTTAATTTTTTTTCAGCTACCAGCTC